GAATCGGCTTCCAAATATACTTGCGGCGACGTAGATGCCCACCGAGGGAGATCTTCTTGTACTCTTTGCCGACTCTCCAATTCATCAATTCTTCGTCGTAGAGCTTCTAGCTCTAAGGACTCTTGTTGTCCGAGCGGTTTCTCTCTATCTGTTGGCGGAGATCAGTTCGTGCCGGATTGGAATGGGCGTGAGGCTGTGTAGGAGGTGGAGAACGCCGAGGTTGCCCAGATTGGCTTTCGACAAATTCTTCATGAGGAATCACCAGGGTAGCACGAGTGGCATTAGCATGATGAGCTACTCGTTCCTGGTGTGGTTGTAACGTTCGACTTCGGGGCTGAGACGTTGCGTGAGAGGCGGCTCCACCGCCGTCTCGTTGTGTCGGTGGGATTTGCAGATTTATAGGAGTTGTAGGGATGACAGATTGTCCCGGAGCCGTCATGGACTTCCCGGGGACGGTTTGAGCCATCAAAGTGGCGAATCCGCGTGCAAATTCAGGATTTTGAAACAGAGTCGTATAGTTGAGCGTATTTGGTACCACTGTATGGCGCCTGGCGGATTGAGCAGTGCTACGGCTGTGGCCATCTCTCGATGTATGACCACGATGATCTGAGTGTGACATGGTGATAACAAATAACGCAGCCGATAAACAACGGATCAAAGGTTAACCTCAAATATCTTATGAGCCCTCCCTCTAGCGCCAAACTGTTGTTATACGATTGTTAACCACGATTTTGTGTGTGTTTAGTTGAGTTTTGAGAGGAGCATTAGACGTAACACATGCATAAAAAACACGAGCAATGGCTCCGGTCCGAGGTGAACCGACCTGAAAGGTGTTGGGCCCTTTTATATATCTGTTGAATGTTCAGAGAGCGATCCCTGTACGAGTATAAAAATCTCCTATTTATAGTATCTTTTTGGGCTCGTATCTCGAGGTGTACGGTAGCCTTTTTGTAAAGTGGATTTTGGATGGGCGGCTATAGGAGTGGGACCCACAGAAATGATGAGATTTCTTGTGGTATGAGAACGCATCGCGTATGTGCCTTGTCACCTGCTTCGGAGATGGCGACCTCGGTTTGTGGTGACTTCCGTTTTCATAGAGCAAGTCAGTTTGCTCCACGTCGTGTCAGAGTTCAGTCGTAATAGAAACCGAAGTGATCAGGTTTCATATCAGTGCCAATAATGATCCTTTGAACATGTGATTCGGGTGAGTAACTGTGGATTACTGGATCGGATGATAACAAAATTGATGGGTGTTGACTGAGAGGAGTTCAAAAATGAGAATTTCAAGTTTGTTAACTGGTGGGAATTGGTGCGTAATGGCAGAAAGCTCTTCAAACTAAGGGAATGAATCTCCTTATTAGTGTGTCTACTTTGGAGGATTTGGAAAGCTAGAAACAACTTTGTGTTTAGAAGAGAACCCTTTCTCGAAGTTGAAGTGGTGGCTGAGGCTAAAAGGGATTGGTTGGAGATGAGTTTGGATGATAGAGGTTGTTCCGAGCATTTGGTTGATCACTCTCCTATTTCTGACTCTCCTTATGAAGAAGATTTTTTCAATAGGGTAGGACTTGTCTGCCTTCAAGTCAGTGCCCTGACCTCTTCAGAAGGAAAAGTTGGAACAGGACTAGTGGCAAAAGTCCAAGATGTAGTGCTTTTGGAAGAGAAAACAAGCTGGAACGTGGCAGGTAACTTATGGGAAGCTGACCTTCTGGCTGTGAGATGGCTCTAAATGTTACAAAGGAAAAATGATGGGATTCAGTGCAGTGATTGGTGAATTCCGAAAGGCTAGTTTCTGCCCTAAATTCTGGTATTTCCTCCTCTATGTAGGACTTGGCTGGTAAGCTTGTGGTTGAAGATATTTTTCATGTGAAGAGACTATGTAACATGTGTAACGTTAACATTTCCTCTCCTTTTGTCTTTTGTTGTGACTTAGCCAAGTTGGCTCTTGAGGGGGAGTAGTTTGTTACTTCCGCGGTACTTCCTTCTCTATTAGTTGTAATAGAGTAGGTACTCTATGTTCAGTTGAACATCTGTTGTACATTCTCGAGTTTTGAATAAATTGGTTTTTCGTTGAGGAAAAAAACAAAATTTCAGATATAGATATGCAACAATAGATAAATTCTATTTTAAAGTATTCTTTAGATTTTAAATACATTATTTATATTAACTCATATTAAGTTCTTACACATCTTGTGCAAAAGCATGAGTGGAATATTAGTATTTAACTATATTCATCATGTGCACATGCACAACCAAAGATTTATATATTATATCTATGCAACTATGCATACAATATATAAAATTTTATATTAGATAATGGATACTACATTTTAAATTTTGACTACATGGCAAATGTGTAATGTAAATATAAATTATTTAACTTACATTTGAATATTTATTGATATTATAAATTTTAATGAACAATATAATTCAGTAATCTAGAAGGACCATACATTTAATTAGTTAGAAAAGTATTACAATTATTTTTATCATTGTTATAGCAATTGTCAAAATGATTTTAAGGTGTTTAATTATGACACTCATGTCAATTAACTAATATTAGATAAAAAAAAAAAAGCTTAGAAAGACAAAAAAAAATATTTTATTTTAGAAAAAGTATTTTAAAGAAAAAAAAAATTACAATACAATTTTTTATAACTATATAACTTCCACATACAATTTAATGTAAAATTATAATCAGTTAGTGTTAGTAGTAATATTATATAATAAATTAGTTTAAAATTGTTATTACACTTTATTAATGTAAAATGTAACATTTCTACATTAATTGAAAAAATGAGCGGAAAAATTATGAAAGTTTTATTAAATAAGTTTTATTTAACGTATCTGCCAGCAATTATATATATAGATATATATACATGATACTCCCTCCTTTTTTAATAAGTTTCATTTTGTGAAATTGCACAGTAATTAACATTTTTTTTTTTTTGCCAATAATAATCCTCATTAATAAGGATAGAGATAGATGTTTTGCGAAAAAATGAAGATTGAATATAAAAAAACATAGTTATTTATAACATAGATTAGGGTAAAAGAAAAAAATATGTACAAAAGATCTAAAACATTATTTATTTGGTTAATTGTTTATAAAGTCAAAATGACATTTAAAAAGAATATGAGGTTGTATTATCTATACTTATATTAAAAGGAAACCTATTTACTAAATATAGTAGGTAGAAAAGTCAACTTTAATTAATGAACTTCTAATTTTATCAAGTAGTAATTAATGTATTTATAATTTTAATCAAGTTTCCTATTTTACATATTGTTTTTAATCCTTCTTATCTTGACATAAAAAAATTCCATAAAATGGGGTGAGCAAAAACAATCAAAATTCTGTTTCTAAAAACTACAAATCAATATTACGATTTTGAATAATACACTAACAAATTATAATGTATTTTTATAAAACTTATAAAAAACTATTAAAAAAACTTGGTTCGTATATTTGTATGGATATTTATATTTTTTTAATATTATCTTTGTATTAAAAAAAACTATTTAACACTATTTTTTTTATTATATAATAAAACAATAATTAAATATTATATGATGAACAAGAATAAATAAAACTGTTACTTTTTTTTTTATATCAAGGGATAAATTTATATACTGAAATTAAAGTTTTATTAGTATAAATATCTTAGTGAGCTAATATATTAATTATTTTACATGCTAGCCCTAACATACTCATAT